ATAGTGTAGTATTTGAGTAGAGATAGCCATATAGATAGGAAATAAAGCATAATACAGAAAGATATTTTCACAAATAAAGGTCAGTCTACTATCTTAAATCGTGAAAAAACTTTAAATATATCACAGAGCAAAAACTAGACCTTAGATAATATTCTGTAAGAAAACTTAGGGGAAAATTTTGTGACCTTATGATGAGCAAATATTTTGTCAATTCTATGTTTATAAAATCAGGGCATCTGGAAATGGGTGAAGAATTTCAGAATTGATACTGTTGCTCTTTGAAAGATGCTAAAATTATAATGATGATGATGACAAAATGGGAAGACAAAGTAAACAGTGGGAGGAATTCTTTGCAAACACTTACCAGGTAAAAGAATTCTATCTGTGATATATAGAGAATGATAAAAATAAAATATTTTAACAGATTCTTTTTCAAAGAAATGACTTAATACTAATATGCATATAGGAAGATGTACTTCTCCATCAATATTCAGCAGAAATATGCATATTACTTCATCATCTAGAATGACTAATATATTAAACTAAACAAATAAAAAAGACAATGATTATTGAAAGCATGCAGATAAACTAAAACTCAATTACATGTCTTTCCCCGAGAGAAATGTAAGATACATTCCCATAAAGAGGTGTACATCAATGTTTACAACAGCCCACTCATAGTAGTCACAAACTAGAAGCATCCCAGGTGTGTATCAAGAGGTGAAGAGATAAACAAATTGAAGTTATTCCTATAAAGGAATATTAAGCAATAAAATTCAAAGAACAAATAAGTATGAAACAACATAGATTAATCTCAAAGGTATTATGTTGTGTTATATTCTAGCAAAAGTAAAACTGTTCATATAGCGATCAGACGTGTAAGTACCATGGCCTGGGCATAGAGGACTGACTGTAAAAGAATGGGAAAAAGAGTTTTTGTAGAGTAATGTTTGTATTTCTCTTGATTGTCGTGATGATTTTCAATTATATTTGTCACAATCCATCAAGGTATGCGTCCAATAAGGAAAAATTTGTACATAAATTTAATCTCATTAAAACAGTAAAACTGCACCTATTTTTTTTAGGAGCATTCAAAAATTGGCCAGCGCTGCGGCTCAATAGGCTAATCCTCCGCCTTGCGGCGCCAGCATACCAGGTTCTAGTTCCGGTCGGGGTGCCAGATTCTTTCCCGGTTGCCCCTCTTCCTGGCCAGCTCTCTTCTGTGGCCCAGGAAGGCAGTGGAGGATGGCCCAAGTGTTTGGGCCCTGCACCCCATGGGAGACCAGGAGAAGCACCTGGCTCCTGCCTTCAGATCAGCGCGGTGCGCCGGCCGCAGCGCACCAGCTGTGGCGGCCATTGGAGGGTGAACCAACGGCAAAAGGAAGACCTTTCTCTCTGTCTCTCTCTCTCACTATCCACTCTGCCTGTCAAAAAAAAAAAAAAATTATTAGTTTTGTAAGCTAGGAAAAGTATTTGGAAATGTTTCATTAACTTTTTCCTTCTTGTTCTTAGAAAGTTCTCATTTCCATTATGCTTTCCTAATACGCAATTTGGGTTTGGATTTGGGTTTTTCCACTGACAATGAAATAAGAATAATCTACTCAATGCCAGGCTTATGTCTCAAAACAAAGTTACTGGGCCTCTGTATCTACAAGAACACAGCCAGTGCCTCCAATCTTCTCCCCACTGGAGGCCACGTTTGATGCTTCAGTCCCAGCCCAGTGGGTGTGAGCTGGAGAGCCTGGCGGTGGACAGCCCACGAGCTCTAACAGCTGGACTTTGCACACTACTAGCCTTTGAGGTCTGTGGTTGCTATGGCTACTGGCATGACCAAATCTGAGTTTGCTGCTGCTAAAAAAAAGTCGAAGAATTATAAAATAGGGTTGAAATGATTAGATTCAAACATGGATTGTACGTGGACTTGCATAAGAGAAGGTGACAATATTTATTCTGTAACAGATTCTTATGTAGGCAGAATAAATAAATATCAAATATACTACACTGTATTTTTGTTTTCTGGTTTTTAAAGATCTTTCATTTAATAGAGGAGAAAATTAAGAAATGTGGTTCCAACAGTTAAAAAAAGTGGTATGCTTAACATGATCAGATAATTGTACCTGGAATTTTATCAAACTGCCTTAATATTGTGTTTAAGATTTGGATTGATTATTTTTATAGAAATGTAATCATTTCATCATTTTAGCAAGCAAGACTCAAAACTAATCATTTGGATAACATTTGATATTCCATATTGATGTGATTCAAAAGTATTCTAGCTGTATGAGTAAAATTTTCTTTTTTTTAACTTGTCATGATTACATCTTTCTATTACTAGGATACAAGATGAGTAAAATTTTTAAACAGACATCTAAGAACAAAAAAGAATAATTATATTTATAAATATACCAGCTTCTATACTAAGTAATCTATTCCAATCTCATGAATCCTCATGATATAATTGTATATCTATGACATAATTCATTTATTATATTATCATATTTTTATGTTGTTGCAAACCTTGTGGAGTGTACTCTAGAAACTTAGGAGGGATATTTGTAAGGAAAAGGAGTCCAACACAGAGAGGAGACAGGATACAAACTCACAGCCATAAGGAATATATTCAAGTAAAATAAATTCACAGAGGTGAGTGACCAACTGCCGGCACGCACAGACCAGCACATGGCAGAGGGCCAGTGTCTTAGGTGGGGCTAAGGGTCCACGGAGGGTTGGGGTGGGGCGATAGATGGAGGTGAGTTTCTCCACACGGGTTTGTCAGAGTTTCAGGTGGGCTTCCAAACCTGGAAAAGAATGCAGGGGGTGGGTGGGCAACAATACAGGTGTGAGACTGAACTGGTTTCTTGAAAGAATTCAAGGATAAGCAGTAATATCGAATTGTATCTACTTTCAGGTAAGGAGCTAGAGTGGCTGAGGCTTATGTCCTTGTTCCATCCATATTCTACTACACACCTAGGCTGTGTGGTGCAGCCTGTTGCTTGTAGGCTATACCTATACAACATGTTACTGTATTGAATTTGGAGGCAATTGAAATATATGGTAAGTATTTTTGGGCAGACACTATGAATGGAATTCATAGGACTGAAGGTTGCTCAGGCTGAGGCAGAGACGTGAATGTAAGAGAAGGCCCGGAATATTCCCATACAGTAGTGTAGAGTTTAGGCACTGTACATTTAGACTACACTGATCATCAAAAGTAAATTACTCTTGGTTTACTATAAATTTTTATTTTATAAACATTTAATTTTTTTCAATTTTTGATTCTGAAAACACAAAACATTGCACAGCAATATGAAAATATTTTTTCTTTATGTACTTATTCTATAAGCTTTTTTGTTCTTTTTATATTTTTGTTTTCTAGAAAAACAAAAAAATAGGAAAAAAAACTAGTTTTTTTCTAGAAAAACTTTTATCTGCCCATCATGAATTTGGTGTGCTGTGCTTGTTAAACATTTTATATGCATTCTGTATTCAATTAAAATGCAATTCTGTTTTTATGCTTTATGGTTTTGTGTTGTCTATGAGAGTAAGACTTTTACAACAGGGTTGGAAATTTTTTTCTTCAAAGGACCAAAGAGAATAAATATTTTAGGTGCCTATTGTCATGGTCAGACTTCTTCTTCTGGCTCATTTTCTTCTTCATCTTCCTCTTCCACTTCCTCTTCCTTTTTTCTTCCTCTTACTTCTCTTCCTTTTCATTTTCTCATAATATATTAATATATGTAAAAACAACAAAACAATCAGTCATAGCCCTTGGGCAATATAAGAATTGATTCTAAAATGATTTGGTCCACAAGCCATAGTTTAACATCCTTTGCCTTCAACTACTTGGGTACTCACATGCCTAAGCATGGGATATCCAGATTAATTATCTCAATCTCTGCCTTCAAGTCCATCTCAGTATTTCTTCAGTTTTATTGCCTATAACCATTTTTAGTAACAGTTTTTGAGCTTACAAGGACTCGGATTTGCAAGCAAAAAAGCCACATATGAATGAGTAGAAAAAGTGTTTTATTAAAAAAAAACATTATATCCATTATCAAGGAAGACTTGAATAAGAAACATAGAAAGAATGCAACCAACAGATGCCAAATGCAGACAATCTTCCGTCATCAGTAAGTTTAAACTCGGCAGTTTATCTGAACTCAATCAGCAAGAGTGGGAGGATCACCACTAGGGTAGCACCTGAAGCCATCAACATTCATAGACTGGTTCATCAGAGCCCCTGTATTTTGTCAGTGGTTTTGATAAAGCTTGAGACTGGGCTTCTGATTATTCAAAATCAACTCACTGCTAAAACTGTAGGTGCTCTTACTGTTAAGGTAATGGAACCTATCAGCCATTACCAACTGAAATACTAAGAGACACATTCTTGAGATAAGTTGTGAGTGAGTTTGGATCAATAACTTGTATAGCTTAGGGAAATCTTTCATGGAACTGTGTTTCAGTCAAAACCTCTGCCTTCTCAACTCTTCCTTCAGCAAGTTTTAAAATTGGCTCAGCGGAAAGAACAGGTCATCAAAGAAGGCAGTACCTTTCTCTGAAGGGAGGATAGAACTTCCACTTTGAATATGGCCTTGTCTAAATAAGATCGGAGTTGGTGAACTCAAGAGGCTTCCATAGCCTTGGCAGTTCATGACAAGAGCCTTGGGTGATTACTGACGTCATAAATAAGACTGTCAATTGCTAAATCAACAACAGGAGTCACTGTGCACCTGCTCCCCATGTAGGACCTCTGCCCTTAATGTGTTTAACTATGCGAATTAAAGGTAAAACTACTACTCAAACAGTACTCTATACTTTGTGTGTCTTTGTGGGTGCAGTCTGTTGAAATCTTTACTTAGTATATACTAAATTGATCTTCTGTATAGAAAGATAATTGAAAATGAATCATGATGAAGAATGGGATGGGAGATGGGGTGGGAGATGGGATAGCTGTGGGTAGGAGGGAGGTTATGGGGGAAAAAGCTGCTATAATTCATAAGTTGTATTTTGGAAATTTATATTTATTGAATAAACGTTTGAAAAGAAAAAAAAGCAAAAAAAGAACTGGCTCAGGCACTTCTCAGTGGAAACATTGATGACACCACGTGGTGGATGCAGCACAGAGCTGGAATGGTCCAAGGTGCAGCCTATTGGTGACCTGGGAAAACATCGCATGGGTGAGCAGACAGCACCATAGTTGAAGGTGTGGTGATCCAGGCATTGGAAAGATGTATGAGCAACTGAAGCAAAAAGAATACAAGAACGGGATAGTTGTTAAACTACATTGATGTTACGCAGAAAGATAATGCACAAAGAAGCAGCATTAAGAATCACTGGTCTTCTTTAGAAGAGCACAATATGCAGTCCTTACGGCTTGCAATGGAAGGGGAGACACTACTGAGCAGCAGGCTCAATACCACATGGAGCTGCAGAGACACAGACAGGATTAGAATAATGACTAAAGAAGACATGTTACACTAAGTCCAGGAACCTGAGACTCCAAAATATGGGTTACAAACTCATGGATGGGTATTACTGATCATACTGGGTCTGTAAACACCTCAAATCTTCTGAATTTGCAGAGGTGACCTAGTGTTCCCCAATAAGGGTTGATATTCTATTTTATTGGAAGTTGGCTCTTTCACGCCAATTACTGGGGATAAATACTATCATAATTTTATTGAAGATATTCTTTTTCCTGGAAGAGAAGTAGCTCATAAACTAAGTGAGTTGCAAGAATTAGAATGTATAGAGAGGAACATTTTGAAAAACACTGAGTGTGCTCAATCATGGAGATGGAATGTATTATTGATTAAGTAGGAACTCAGTGATTTGAGAGAATTTTTACAGGACATGAGATTTAACACTCTGACAAAGAACCCAAGAGATGGGACAAATTTGTTCTTCTGCATCTTGTAGGACGTTGGAACAAGCAAAGAAAATACTCAGTTAACTGCATATACATGAGCTCCCTTAAGGAGACTAGGGGTTGTAGACATACAGGAATGGATATGGCATGCAGGTTAGAAGTCATCATTAACCAAGAGCAATAATGATTTGCTAGTGAAAGGGGCACCAACATCCCTAAGTTCAGATCTGGCTCCCTTTACAGGACAAGGGTGGCAGAGGTGGTTTTACAGAAATGGGCTTATTATCACCTATGGATGATGGAGTTCTGGAGCCAGTTGAAGCCAAATGTTAGGATTTAATTACCAAAAGCCAGAGAGCTGAAGTGAGCACAAGGACAGCAAGGTCAAAGGGAAGTCAAGAATGTTGCCTGTTATGAAACTGTGACATACTTAATAGACAAAATCATCTTTAAGGGCAAAAAACCAATGTCAATAAGCAAGGGTGCTGCTACACAGCTCTAATCATGAAAGGGGAGGAGCAGTGTAGCAGAGACCAAGGAAAATTACTCTGACAAAATATCACGATGCCTTACTGTGTGTTCAAACACTTACCAATTGCTGCTTTCCATTCTCTGAGGAGCTGTCTACCCAAAACACTATGGCTCTGAAGTAGGTTCACTGAGCACCATTTACCGATGCCAGGGAAGGACTGCGATTGCTTTGCTCACTGTACCTTGGGCTGTGACAGCTTCTATCATTTTCAGGTGTCCAGTGAGATAGAACCCTTGCACACAAGGGTTCTATATGAGGTAGGCTTATTATTAACCCCTAGGCAGCAAGGGGATGTGGAAGCCTAGAATTCACAGTGATTCAGCGCCCCAGAGTTCTGGAAAGCTGCCCAGGGGGATGCACGTGCCCCACTTGCACTCAAGCTGAGGGACCCTAAAAAGCAGCTGGCCCTGGACTTCATACTCAATTGCATATTATATTGGATATTACGTTGAATACATTTACGGACTGAAGTGGTGTAGGACATTCCTTCCTTCTATGAGGGACAGAACACAGCCTTCACTATACCATCAAGTTCTTGTGTATCTCAGGATATGGAATTCCCATAGCATGCAACCATTGTTATTGAGGTCTACAAGTCAGCAATGGGGAAGAACTGGGTGGTCCAAGGCCTCCTAGAGACAATTTTCCTGCCATGAAAAGATGATTATCCAAGTCCACACCCAAAAGATCATACAACCATGTACTCCAAGGAATATGCATTGGATAATGGAAAACATTCAGACATCTTAAGGACCATTGGAACAGGTTATACTGAAATTTATTCAGGGATACCCAAAGTATCATTGTCCTCCTTTATCATAGTAGTGGGATAAGGATATCACCTGGGGCCAAGACTACCAAGAGTTCAGGTTTCTCAGCTGATTTTGAAGATTAAGTGAAAATAACTATAAATAAAATAGTAAAGATTAAGTACTAGCCACAGCTCCTAGACAAACTCCAATGAAGGCACTGTAATATGTCCCAGTAACCTTGCAATTTCCAAGCCTACGTGGAATGGTAGACCTTTGTGTTGTGATGGCTGGGGTGAGGTGCAATTGGGTGATCCTTGCTGTCAATGACATCTACTGTGTTCACCAATCACCAGAATGATTGGTCTGCCAATCTCATACTTTAATCTCAAACACTGTGATCTAAGTAAAATATTTCTCTTTACAAAGTTAATTTTTCAGGTATTATAGTGATGAAAAGCTAAGTATACATCTTCTCTCTTTCAGAGTCCAGAAGAGCATTGTGGTCTGAAAATTATCTCAGTATCTTGTTTTCTTCTTTGTTCTTCCCAGATGTCTACCACAAAAGAAATTTCTTGCACATCTGATCACATCTTGATGTCTGCATCTTGGAGGACATGATGACTTGCAATGATTTTGAACATCAAACATCTATTTTGTTGTAGCTATTTTTATTGTGTTACATGTGAATTATCAGGCTGCTATTCTGATGTTTGAGAAAATCTTCATTCTCTGTTTCATATAAGAACCGACTTTTGCTTCCAACTTTGCACCAATTTCCACCACCAAAGACCGAAGAGCTTAACAAAGAAATATGGGCTACAGGAATTTTCAGTTAGGAGGAAAGAACTAAAACACCTACCAGATAAAGCAAGTATCTTCAAAACATTCTTAAGAGTACATTTCAATTCATTTTGCAGAAATTTATTCAGGGATACCCAAAGTATCAATTTGTCCTCCTTTACCATAGTAGTGGGATAAGGATACCTCCTGGGGCAAGATGACATTGTTTACCACTGAGAACCCGGTTGAGTTTGCGGAAGAGCACATCAGTAGTCCCTTGGAAACAGACATTCAAGAAGGTTTTTCATGGATAATGTTTCCTGAGGCTCACATAACTCTCAGCAATTTGGGGGACACTTTTGGAGTCATCATCAAATTAAAAATTAAAACATAATACACACACATCTGTATTTTCTGTCTTTCTACCTCTTCAATTCTGTTATATTATTGTATTTTGAGCCTCTAAATGAAAACACTTAATGTAATCAATAATGCAAATTAATTATCCTTATAAACAGAGGATTGTGTTATCATTATGGATCCTTAAAACAAGCAAATATTTTTCTCAATTCATTTTAACTATATCACTTGTATTGCAAATGTTTAGACACTTGAATATTATATTCCAATAGTGAGCCTCCTCTCTCTCTCTCTCTCTCTCTCTCTCTCTCTCCATCTCTGTGTATGCCTTTCACAAGAGGTACAAATAAACCAGAAAATGTACCAAAGCAAAAACTACTGGGTGATAATGTCATTAACATATTGTATTTCTCCTTTCTGTCTCTACTCATTTTCTGTGTTTGCTGAGCCAGGGCTCTAATGAGAATGCACAGCTTCTGTTTTCAGAAGCTGTGTTGATAGGCATGCACCGAGGGTCCTCCTATTTGTTTTCACTTCTCTGGCTTTAAGCTGCTAACTTTAATGCTATTGTGATGGTGTTACTATTGTTGCCTTTAGAAGTTAAGCTCACCCACCTACATCCCTTCAGAGAAGAAACTTTGTTGTGAGTACAGACTGACTGAGGTCTCCGGAGAGGATCTTTATTATCTGTTCATTTATTAACTTGTAGAGAAAATTTGAGATAGAAAATATTTAGAAGAATGTCTATCTTATAATATTATTAATTTTAGAAGCACTAGTGATTCTAGCTTTAAATAATCCCAATGTAAAGAAAAAATGTATAAACACTTTTTTTTAATGATTTATTTACTGGGGCTGACGATGTACCATGGTAAGCTAAGTGTCTGCCTGCAGTGCCAACATCCCCATATGAGTGCCAGTTCAAGTCCTGGCAGCTCCCTTTCCAATCCAGCTCTCTGCTAATGGACTGGGAAAGCAGTGGAAGATGGCTCAAGAGCTTGGGCCCATGCACTTGTATGGGAATCCTGGAAGAAGCTCTTGGTTTCCAACTGATCGGTCCAGTTTTGGCCATTATGGCCATTTGGGGAGTGAACCAGTGGATGAAAGACCTTTCTTTCCTTCTCTCCCTCTCTCTGTGACGCTGCCTCTCAAATAAATATATAAAATCTTCAAAAATAATAAAAAGGATTTATTTATTTGAAAGGTAGAGTTATAGGAGGGAGAGACAGAGGCAGAGAGAGAGAGAGAGAGAGAGAGATCTTCCATTTGCTGGTTCACCTGCTGGATGGCTGCAACAAGCCAGGACTGGGCCAGGCTGACGCCGGGATCCGAGAGCTTCCTCAGAGTCTCCCACATGGGTGCAGGGGCCCATGCACTTGGGCCATCTTCCACTGCTCTCCTAGGCCATTAGCAGGGAGCTGGATCAGAAATAGAGCAGCTAGGACTTGAACCAGCGCCCATATGGAATGCTGGCACTGCAGGTGGCGGCTTAACCTGTTATACCATAATACTAGTCCCTATAAACACAATTTTTAACAGCTCTACTTTTCATAGCAATTCAAATTATATTGCATTTTCAACATTGTTCAGTGTCTCAGATATATTCTGTGTTTTAATTAAAAACACACATAGCAAAGTATAGGGAAAAAACAGACTTGGCAAATTTAATAAGAATAAAGTTAGCAAATTACATTTTAGCCTAATGATATCACATATTCCAAATCTGCTTTAAGAACTGTTTGATGCTTCTAATTAACTGGCCATTAGTGACATCAATCCCCTGCCGGCTTTAATCATGACTCAAACTCATAGAACGTGGAACACTAACTACTCTCCAGGGCACATAAATTACCTCAACGTTCTCCTCTTCAGGTAAAGGCTGTGAAAGCTGTTTAACAGTCCATTTTCTTGCCACCCTCAAGAGAACAAATGGAGGAAGTTTCTAAAATCCGAAATGGGAGTTCAGTAGCCAGACATTACCAAAGGATTTTTGTATCTGCTAAATTAAGTCAATTAAATTTAATGCAGACTTTCATATTTTTTTATGTTTAGAAATTACACTATGGCCAAATAGGGAAAATGTTGGTGAAAAATTCATAGCACATCATAGACAAAAAGAAAATATTGGTTCAAAATGCATCAACCCATAAGAAGGAAAAGGACACACCTATCATCAGAGATTGAGATGGCTATGTCAACTGAAATATAGAAAGGCTTTTCCCAACATACCCTTCTCATCACATATTTTTAAAACTTTTTATGATTTTGAGGCTTTTATTGTTTATTCATACTCACCAAGACAGTTTATATTACTTGAGAAGATTGAAATTAATTGTATATACCAGTACAAAGTTGTGAACTTTTCATTCTGCCTTCCTCTGAAAGAGTTTGCATTATCTCTGGTTTCCCAGGTGTAAATACTGGCAGCCTTCCTCATCTCTGATCCACGTCTCACCAACTGATCATTAGTGAAAAATTCACTCCACTGATTGGTACCGTTTACACTGATTTCTACTTGCCAAGACGTCTGAGATATTACTCTACTGTAAGCTAGCAAATTACCTATCAACAGTTTTATGAATACTGGGACAAGACACATGATGACAAGAGATAAAGGACTGTATTAACCACAGCAAAAGTAGTTGCCCAAGTATTGGAGGGATCACACTAGTTCCCCCAAACCCATTTACCATCTGGGCAGCACAAGTTAGCTGAGGGCAGAAGCCACCGCCTGCACGGGCAGGATTTCAGAGGAATGCTGGAGCCTTGTTAATAGCCCATGAGATAAGTATGCCTGGGTAGAGGTGGGTAGAGGCACTTCCATCCAACCAGTTTGCTCAGTGAAATTAAGGCTTTCAGGAATGGCACACAGGGAAAGAGGGGCATACCCAAGAAAGCTTGGAGAAATGCTTACAAGTCCAGGAAGGATTATTTCTCATTTCTTAATCCTGGTTTTTTTTTTGTTTTGTTTTGTTTTTTGGTTTTTTTTTTTTTTTTTTTTTTTTTTTTTTTTTTTTTTTTTATAGGCAGAGTGCACAGTGAGAGAGAGAGAGAGAGACAGAGAGAAAGGTCTTCCTTTGCCATTGGTTCACCCTCCAATGGCCGCCGTGGCCGGTGCACTGCACTGATCCGAAGGCAACTGCCAGGTGCTTCTCCTGGTCTCCCATGGGGTGCAGGGCCCAAGCACTTGGCCATCCTCCACTGCACTCCTGGGCCACAGCAGAGAGCTGGCCTGGAAGAGGGGCAACCAGGACAGAATCGGGTGCCCCGACCGGGACTAGAACCCGGTGTGCCGGCACCGGAGGTGGAGGATTAGCCTATTGAGCCACGGAGCC